TAGATCGGGGGAGACGCCCCCCCCCCCCCCCGCAAAGTAGCAGCGACATGGATGAGGTCCCTACAGGTGGGGGTCAGGGTGTAGATCTGTGTCCAGGAAGAGGGCACTTAGGGTCACGCCTCTCTGGCCCCTGCATACAGCTACCCCAGCTGGGGCCTGGCTGCCCTCCCTATCCTGGCTGACCGAGGCCCTCCCCACTGCCCTGCCCTGCCCCGCCCCACCCTAGGCCCCTCCTTCCAGACCCTAGGGGGACGGTAACCAAGAGACGATGGGTAGGGCCCTCCAAAAGTGAACCTCTGCCCATTGTTGGGAGCAGAAGGTCACCGTGCCCCCTCCCCCGGCCTCCCCAGGACCGCGACAATAGCCCCAGCTCTTGTGCTGGCCTCTTCATCGCCTCGCATATCGGCTTCGACTGGCCCGGGGTCTGGGTCCACCTGGACATCGCCGCTCCGGTGCACACTGTGAGTGTGGGGCTCCTGTGCCCCCTTAGCCACCTCTATGGCGTTCCCCCCCCCATGCTCGGACACTGCCTTGCTGGCCAGTCACTGCCCATCAGCCTGACTGGCCTCTCATCCTTGCGGAGCGCCTCTGGTTCCAGGCCACAGGCCGAGCTCCTTGCCACATTCCGGTCGTGGCTCGCGTGGTCCGTGTTTTAGCTCCCAGCCAGCTACGGTCCTCCCTGATCTCTGGTCTCATTGTCCCCAGGGACGGGTGGCGGCTTCGAGCAGCCCTTCCCCAGCCAGCCCATCCTTGCAGGAGGCCCAGGACCCTGGTCTTGCCTTCCCCGTTCCTGGGAGACCTGGGGCCGTTCCCCATTTGTTGTCCCGATGTGGCAGGATAACAGCAGGCCAGCCGAGCCCTGGCTGAGGGGGGCCCTGTAGGTGGAGGTGAGGCAACCCCCCAACACGAGGCCACGTGCTGAGCAGGTCTCTGCCTCTCCCTCTGCCCGCAGGGCGAGCGAGCTACGGGCTTCGGGGTGGCGCTGCTGCTGGCTCTCTTTGGCCGTGCCTCTGAGGACCCCCTGCT